ACCCACCGTACCATCATACCACCCATCGTGCCATCATACCACCCATCGTACCATCATACCACCCATCGTACCATTCAGTGTATCATCGTAGCACCCCATCGTACCACCCATTGTACCATCATACCACCCACCGTACCATCGTATCTCCCATCGTACCATCATACCACCCACCATACCATCATACCACCCATTGTACCATCATACCACCCATCGTATCTCCCATCGTACCATCATACCACCCATCATACCACCCACCATACCATCATACCACCCACCATACCATCATACCACCCATCGTGCCATCATGCCACCCATCGTACCATCATACCACCCATCGTACCATTCAGTGTATCATCGTAGCACCCATCGTACCACCCATTGTACCATCATACCACCCATCGTACCTCCCATCGTACCATCATACCACCCATTGTACCACCCATCGTACCTCCCATCGTACCATTGTACCACCCATTGTACCACCCATCGTACCATCCATCGTACCACCGATCGTACCATCTTACCTCCCATCGTACCATCATACCACCCATGGTACCATTCAGTGTACCATCGTACCACCCATCGTACCACCCATCGTACCACCCATCGTACCATCGTAGCACCCATCGTACCTCCCATCGTACCATCATACCACCCATGGTACCATTCAGTGTACCATCGTACCACCCATCGTACCACCATACCACCCATCGTACCACCCGTCGTACCATCGTACCACCCGTCGTACCATCGTACCCCGTCGTACCGTCGTACCATCATACCACCCACCGTACCATCATACCACCCATCATACCACCCACAATACCATCATACCACCCATCGTACCATCATACCACCCATCATACACCACCCACCATACCATCATACCACCCACCGTACCATCATACCACCCATCATACCATACCACCCATCATACCACCCACAATACCATCATACCACCCATCGTACCATCATACCACCCATCATACCACCCACCCATACCATCATACCACCCACCGTACCATCATACCACCCACCGTACCATCATACCACCCATCGTACCATCGTACCACCCATCGTACCACCCATGCCATCCATCGTACCATTCAGTGTACCATCATACCACCCACCGTACCACCAGTCGTACCATCATACCACCCACCGTATCATCCATTGTACTTTCCAGTGTACCATCATACCACCCATTGTACCATTCAGTGTACCATCATACCACCCACCGTACCACCCATTGTACCATCATACCTCCCATCATACACCCATTACCATTCATACCACCCATCATACCACCCATTGTACCATCATACCTCCCATCGTACCATTACCTCCCAGTGTACCACCCATCATACCACCCATCGTACCATCATACCACCCATCATACCACCCATACCACCCATCATACCACCCATCGAACGTACCATCATACCACCCATCGTACCATCATACCACCCATCGTACCATCATACCACCCATCGTACCATCATACCACCCATCGTACCATCATACCACCCATCGTACCATCATACCACCCATCGTACCATCATACCACCCATCGTACCATCATACCTCCCATCGTACCATCATACCACCCATCGTACCATCATACCACCCATCGTACCATCATACCACCCATCGTACCATCATACCACCCATCGTACCATCATACCACCCATCGTACCATCCAGTGTATCACCTACCATACCACCCATCATACCACCCATTGTACCTCTGGGACGGGACAGTCTCTTGTAGAGGGCGGAGCTCTGTGATGGGACAGTCTCTTGTAGTGGGCGGGGCTCTGTGATTGGACAGTCTCTTGTAGTGGGCTGGGCTCTGTGATTGGACAGTCTTTGGTAGTGGGCTGGGCTCTGTGATTGGACAGTCTTTGGTAGTGGGCCGGGGCTCTGTGATTGGACAGTCTTTGGTAGTGGGCCGGGGCTCTGTGATTGGACAGTCTTTGGTAGTGGGCCGGGGCTCTGTGATTGGACAGTCTTTGGTAGTGGGCCGGGCTCTGTGATTGGACAGTCTCTGGTAGTGGGCCGGGGCTCTGTGATTGGACAGTCTCTGGTAGTGGGCCGGGGCTCTGTGATTGGACAGTCTCTGGTAGTGGGCCGGGGCTCTGTGATTGGACAGTCTCTGGGTAGTGGGCCGGGGCTCTGTGATTGGACAGTCTCTGGTAGTGGGCCGGGGCTCTGTGATTGGACAGTCTCTGGTAGTGGGCCGGGGCTCTGTGATTGGACAGTCTCTGGTAGTGGGCCGGGGCTCTGTGATTGGACAGTCTCTGGTAGTGGGCCGGGGCTCTGTGATTGGACAGTCTCTGGTAGTGGGCCGGGGCTCTGTGATTGGACAGTCTCTGGTAGTGGGCCGGGGCTCTGTGATTGGACAGTCTCTGGTAGTGGGCCGGGGCTCTGTGATGAGGACAGTCTCTGGTAGTGGGCCGGGGCTCTGTGATTGGACAGTCTCTGGTAGTGGGCCGGGGCTCTGTGATTGGACAGTCTCTGGTAGTGGGCCGGGGCTCTGTGATTGGACAGTCTCTGGTAGTGGGCCGGGGCTCTGTGATTGGACAGTCTGTTAGTGGGTGGGGCTCTGTGATTGCACATTTTTGTAGTGGGCGGGGCTCTGTGATGGGACGGTCTCTTGTAGTGGGCGGGGCTCTGTGATGGGACGGTCTCTTGTAGTGGGCGAGGCTCTGATGGGACGGTCTCTTGTAGTGGGCGGGGCTCTGTGATGGGACGGTCTCTTGTAGTGGGCGGGGCTCTGTGATGGGACGGTCTCTTGTAGTGGGCGGGGCTCTGTGATGGGACGGTCTCTTGTAGTGGGCGGGGCTCTGTGATGGGACGGTCTCTTGTAGTGGGCGGGGCTCTTTGATGGGACGGTCTCTTGTAGTGGGCGGGGCTCTGTGATGGGACGGTCTCTTGTAGTGGGCGGGCTCTGTGATGGGACGGTCTCTTGTAGTGGGCTGGGCTCTGTGATGGGACGGTCTCTAGTAGTGGGCTGGGCTCTGTGATGGGACGGTCTCTAGTAGTGGGCTGGGCTCTGTCATGGGTGGGTAGGCGGGTAGTGGGTAGTGGGCGGGGCTCTTTGATGGGACGGTCTCTTGTAGTGGGCGGGGCTCTGTGATGGGACGGTCTCTTGTAGTGGGCTGGGCTCTGTGATGGGATGGTCTCTTGTAGTGGGCGGGGCTCTGTGATGGGACGGTCTCTTGTAGAGAGTGGATGTCATGGGTCCCCCCACAGGCCACGCCCACAGCAACTATCTAACCGAGGCGCACGTGCGGCTGTGGGGTACGAGGGGATAAAGGGGACTCAACTTTGTATATATAAAAACCGTATATAAGATCAGCCGTGATATCCTTCCACAGCCCGCACTACCTCTGCCCACCACCGGGGGGAGACTCCACTACAATCCAGAGGGCTGACCACACACACTGCAGATACAAATCTTACATACAATCTGGTGCACTGATTAGAGTTGAGGAGCAGCTTAGCAATCACACCCTTCTAGGGCCCCTCCAGCTACCTACAGCTTGAACCCCGGTGTTATCACCCTTCTACTGTCCACACACCCCCACACCAGACACACCCCTCCCCCACACCAGACACACCCCTCCCCCACACCAGACACACCACAAAAGGTAGCCTGCCACCACCCAACAGTTTATCCGCAGAACGGTCTGCTGGGACACCCCACACACACAGATCTCCGTCTGGCCGATCTGTTACCTTTTACTATCTGCACACAATCTGCCCACACACAGTGCAATTGCATACAGATTGGCAATGAGCTGACCGAGTGTATAAAGACACTAAAATACGATACAATCCAATCTCTCCGGAGATGTGAGCCCGAGCTTCAATACACAGAAGTCACTAATTAATTGTAAGATTTAATTTCCCGGAAGTGGGCGGAGCATAAAATATGTACAAAGTATAAAAAGTGACAGAAATACGAGAAGACACACAAATGACTTCACTATAAAATAAAAGGGAATAAAACAATAAAACGTTACCGAGATCTATCCTGCGACTGGAGCCAGTCAGAGCGTCAGCAATCCGTCAGTCAATAGAACCGGCTCCATACGGATCACCATGTCCCAATGTCCGGGTCCTCACTTTATGGGGATATGGAGGTAGGCGGGACATTAGTCCTCGGCCAGTTGACTCTGGGGGGTGGTCCTGTACCCGCCCACAGGATGTTCTGGGTGCTGATCTGCCCAAGTTCAATTGGACCAAGACCGGCTTGAATCACCAAGTCGGGGATTGGATTTCTGACACCAGCACATCGGTCCGATCGGGACAGTACCAATCACTGCTCAGCTATCGCACTCCAGCACCACCTAACCATTTCCTGCATTTTCCTGCCTTCTACCTAATCCACAAATACGGTTTTTATATGCCGATGTAGCCTACAGAGTGTCCAATCAGAAGGGAGTATTTTCATCTCTCTGCAACTAATAATTTGGCTTTTATGAGGGAGGAAACATTTCCTTTGATGTATGGATGTACTTTTAGAGCTCCCAGACAGATCGGGCCCCCTGGTGTCATGAAGCTGAAACGTCTGCGTTCCTCTTTTCAGCTTCAGGAAGGTGGCCGAGTCTGATTACATATAGGAGACAACATCTTATTAGCACCCAGGTGTCACTTCCAGAGGAAGCTCTGTCCCTTCAGATGCTGATTGGTGACCATCTGTCTCTGAACACCTCATTTCCCCCAATGACAAGGACTGAACCTACACCTAGGACTACACATTGCTACAGATCACAGTGGGGCTCTGTGATTGGACAGTCTGTGGTGATGAGGAGATGTCAGTATTTTATTGAAGTCAGTTGTATTAGATTTGATCGATGAGACCTCAGATTTCCTCCTCTGTATGCCCCCTTCCCCCGTACCCCCCGGTCTCCTGACCCCTCTCTCCTTGTCTCCGCACAGGACGGTGGCGCTGAGCGAGGGCCCGTGTAAGCGGCACTAAATGCTCGGTGCAGAATGGGGGTCTGGGGGTTCCTGAAGACGCAGTTTGTGGTCCATCTGCTCATCGGATTCGTCTTTGTCATCAGCGGCCTCATCATCAACTTCCTGCAACTCTGCACCCTGCCACTATGGGGCGCCAACAAGCAGCTGTACCGCCGCATCAACTGCCGGCTATCCTACTCCCTATGGAGCCGTAAGTACTGAGCTGGGGGGGCCCTGTGAGCGGTCCCCCCCCCTTGTGTGTGAGCGGTCCCCCCCCCTTGTGTGTGAGCGGTCCCCCCCCCCCTTGTGTGTGAGCGGTCCCCCCCCCTTGTGTGTGAGCGGTCCCCCCCCCTTGTGTGTGAGCGGTCCCCCCCCCCCTTGTGTGTGAGCGGTGTGTGAGCGGTGGTGTGTGTCCCCCCCCCTTGTGTGTGTGAGCGGTGTCCCCCCCCCCCCCCCCCCCCCTTGTGTGTGTGAGCAGTGTGTCGTCCCCCCCCTTGTGTGTGTGAGTCCCCCCCCCCGGTGTCCCCCCCCCCCTTGTGTGTGTGAGCGGTGTGTCCCCCCCCCCCCCCCCTTGTGTGTGTGAGCGGTGTGTCCCCCCCCCCCCCCCTTGTGTGTGTGAGCGGTGTGTCCCCCCCCCCCCCCTTGTGTGTGTGAGCGGTGTGTGTCCCCCCCCCTGTGTGTGTGAGCGGTGTGTCCCCCCCCCCCCCCCCCCCCCCCTTGTGTGTGTGAGCGGTGTCCCCTCCCCCCCCCTTGTGTGTGTGAGCGGTGTTCCCCCCCCCCCCCCCCCCTTGTGTGTGTGAGCGGTCCCCGTCCCCCCCCCTTGTGGTGTGTGAGCGGCGTTCCCCCCCCCCCCCCCCCCCCCCCCCCTTGTGTGTGTGAGCGGCGTCCCACCCCCCCCCCCCCCCCCCCCCCCGTGTGTGAGCGGTGTCCCCCCCATGTGTGAATGGTTTCCCCCCCATGGGTTATATATGAAGGTGTGTCCCATGTATTCCTGCTCCCTGTATATGGATGTGCTCAGCAGACCTTCAGGCCCCATAATATGGATTTGTCCAACAAATATAACACCATCATTACCAACACAGCACCTTATTGGTTGTAATAATATTGGGCCCACCCTCCCAGTCATGTGATTCAGGTGTTCCCACCCCCTCCCAGTCATGTGATTCAGGTGTTCCCATCCCCTCCATATCATGTGATTCAGGTGTTCCCACCCCCTCCCAGTCATGTGATTCATGTGTTCCCACCCCCTCCCAATCATGTGATTCAGGTGTTCCAATCCCCTCCCAATCATGTAATTCAGGTGCATTCTAGAGCAGAGGAGGCGTGTTCTCTGGAGTGACCAATCACACTTCTCTGTCTGGCCTTTCAATGGACATGTCTGGGTTTGGTGGTGGCCAGGAGAACGGTACTTACCTGACTGCATTGTGCCAAGTGTAAAGTTTGGTGGAGGGGGGATTATGGTGTGGGAATGTTTTTCAGGGGTTGGGCTTGGCCCCCTAGTTCCAGTGAAAGGAACTCTTAAGGTGACAATTTCATGCTCCCAAATTTGTGGGAGGAGTTTGGGGATGGCCCCTTCCTGTTCCAACATGACTGCCCCCCAGTGCACAAAGCAAGGTCCATAAAGACATGGAGGAGCCAGTTTGGGGTGGAGGAACTTGACTGTCCTGCACCTGATAGAACATTTGATTTCCCTTCTGGATTTGGGGACAAGTGCTGGATGAGAGCGTCCTGGGTGTGGTCTCTGGTGCGCGGGGGGCGGCGTGGCCCGCGTCTGGTGCGCGGGGGCGGCGTGGCCGCGTCTGGTGCGCGGGGGCGGCGTGGCCGCGTCTGGTGCGCGGGGGCGGCGTGGCCGCGTCTGGTGCGCGGGGGCGGCGTGGCCGCGTCTGGTGCGCGGGGGCGGCGTGGCCGCGTCTGGTGCGCGGGGGCGGCGTGGCCGCGTCTGGTGCGCGGGGGCGGCGTGGCCGCGTCTGGGTGCGCGGGGGCGGCGTGGCCGCGTCTGGTGCGGGGCGGCGCGTCTGGTGCGCAGGGACGGCGCGGCCGGTGAGCGGGGATGGTGTCTCTGTGTATCGCTACAAACTGAGAGGTGTATTACGATGGATTGTACATGGATCAGACGTGACCCCCCTTCTCTCACACAGAGCTGGTGATGCTCCTGGAATGGTGGTCCGGCACGCAGTGTACCCTCTTCACAGACCAGGAGACGGTGGATCACTTCGGGAAGGAGCACGTCATCATCATCCTCAATCACAACTTTGAAATCGACTTCTTATGTGGCTGGACCATGTGTGAGCGCTTCGGAGTGTTGGGAGTAAGTAGACGTCACATACCTGTCTGTGTGCCCTCGTGCCCGGCCGCGGGACGGCCCTCCCCCTCGTGCCCGGCCGCGGGACGGCCCTCCCCCTCGTGCCCGGCCGCGGGACGGCCCTCCCCCCTCGTGCCCGGCCGCGGGACGGCCCTCCCCCCTCGTGCCCGGCCGCGGGACGGCCCTCCCCCCTCGTGCCCGGCCGCGGGACGGCCCTCCCCCCTCGTGCCCGGCCGCGGGACGGCCCTCCCCCCTCGTGCCCGGCCGCGGGACGGCCCTCCCCCCTCGTGCCCGGCCGCGGGACGGCCCTCCCCCCTCGTGCCCGGCCGCGGGACGGCCCTCCCCCCTCGTGCCCGGCCGCGGGACGGCCCTCCCCCCTCGTGCCCGGCCGCGGGACGGCCCTCCCCCCTCGTGCCCGGCCGCGGGACGGCCCTCCCCCCTCGTGCCCGGCCGCGGGACGGCCCTCCCCCCTCGTGCCCGGCCGCGGGACGGCCCTCCCCCTGGTGACCCCTGTAACTATTAGGTTTTCATGGCATTTTTCCTTTCTCTCTCCTTCTCCATGAACCCTCCAGAGCTCAAAAGTCCTTGCGAAGAAAGAGCTTCTGATGGTTCCTCTGATTGGCTGGACTTGGTACTTCCTAGAAATTGTATTCTGCAAACGCAAGTGGGAAGAGGACCGAGACACGGTGATTCAGGGACTGCAGAACCTGCGGGACTACCCGGAATACATGTGGGTGAGTGCGCACTCCATCTGTGGGAGGTACGTGCAGGGCAAAGGTCTCATCGGTGGACAATGGTCATCAGTAGTCTACGGGGTCAGCTTTCTGAAGTCTGGAGGTGCCTCACTAGGCAGATTTTGAAAGGGGAGCGCTCTTTAGGTCGGATTTCAGGCATCCCCTGCCACATAAATTTCATTATTTTTTTTAGACGCATTCCCATTAGGAATTCACATCTACAGGGATGCAGACTCTGCCACTTTCCTCATTCCAGGCCTGCAGGTGCAGCAGCTGATTGATAAAGTCCCTCCCGTTCACATCACTCTGCACATGGACACAGAGAAACAATCCGATGTTTCTATAAAATTACAAAAGTTCAGAATCTGCAACCCAGTTTGTTAGAGTCCCTGCAATGTACAGAGATCCCCAGAGGGGGCGGGGTTTTACCTCTCTCAAATTTGCACTTTTATGAAGCACAGAGCGACAACCGCTAAATAAAAGTGCTGAGTACGGGACTGGCGTGGTCAGGATGTAGAAATTCTCCGATGAACAAGTTCTGTCTTCTGTCCAACCGCGATACGCTGCCAACTCGGCACAAAATGAGGGAAAAAGGCATTTCCCCTTTATGAATCATGTGAAGTACGTCATGTACTTCATCTAGGGGAGAGGTCCAACTGAGGACATGGGAGGTGTACACTGGAGGGGAGAGGGCCATCTGAGGACATGTGAGGTGTACACTGGAGGGGAGAGGGCCATCTGAGGACATGGGGAGGTGTACACTGGAGGGGAGAGGTCCAACTGAGGACATGGGAGGTGTACACTGGAGGGGAGAGGTCCAACTGAGGACATGGGAGGTGTACACTGGAGGGGAGAGGTCCAACTGAGGACATGGGAGGTGTACACTGGAGGGGAGAGGTCCAACTGAGGACATGTGAGGTGTACACTGGAGGGGAGAGGTCCATCTGAGGACATGGGAGGTGTACACTGGAGGGGAGAGGTCCAACTGAGGACATGGGAGGTGTACACTGGAGGGGAGAGGTCCATCTGAGGACATGTGAGGTGTACACTGGAGGGGAGAGGGCCATCTGAGGACATGGGAGGTGTACACTGGAGGGGAGAGGTCCAACTGAGGACATGGGAGGTGTACACTGGAGGGGAGAGGTCCAACTGAGGACATGGGAGGTGTACACTGGAGGGGAGAGGTCCATCTGAGGACATGTGAGGTGTACACTGGAGGGGAGAGGTCCATCTGAGGACATGGGAGGTGTACATTGGGGGAGAGGTCCATCTGAGGACATGGGAGATGTACACTGGAGGGGAGAGGGCCATCTGAGGACATGGGAGATGTACACTGGAGGGGAGAGGGCCATCTGAGGACATGGGAGATGTAACATTGGGGGGGAGAGGGCCATCTGAGGACATGGGAGGTGTACACTGGAGGGCAGAGGTCCATCTGAGGACATGGAAGATGTACACTGGAGGGGAGAGGTCCATCTGAGGACATGGGAGATGTACATTGGGGGAGAGGTCCATCTGAGGACATGGGAGGTGTACACTGGAGGGCAGAGGTCCATCTGAGGACGTGGGAGGTGTACACTGAAGGGGAGAGGGCCATCTGAGGACGTGGGAGATGTACACTGGGGGAGAGGTCCATCTGAGGACGTGGGAGATGTACATTGGGGGAGAGGGCCATCTGAGGACGTGGGAGATGTACACTGGAGGGGAGAGGTCCATCTGAGGACGTGGGAGATGTACATTGGGGGGAGAGGTCCATCTGAGGACGTGGGAGATGTACATTGGGGGGGAGAGGTCCATCTGAGGACATGGGAGGTGTACACTGGAGGGGAGAGGTCCATCTCTGAGAACATGAGAGATGAACATTGGGGGGGGGAGAGGTCCATCTGAGGACATGGGAGATGTACATTGGGGGGGAGGTCCATCTGAGGACATGGGAGATGTACATTGGGGGGGGAGGTCCATCTGACGACATGGAAGATGTATGGTACTGGGGGGGAGAGGTCCATCTGAGGACGTGGGAGATGTACATTGGGGGAGAGGTCCATCTGAGGACGTGGGAGATGTACATTGGGGGGAGAGGTCCATCTGAGGACATGGGAGGTGTACACTGGAGGGGAGAGGTCCATCTGAGAACATGAGAGATGAACATTGGGGGGGAGAGGTCCATCTGAGGACATGGGAGATGTACATTGGGGGGGGAGGTCCATCTGACGACATGGGAAGATGTACACTGGGGGGGAAGGTCCATCTGAGGACATGGGGAGATGTACACGGGGGGGGGGGGGGGGGGAAGGTCCATCTGAGGACATGGGAGGTGTACACATGGGGGAGAGAGGTCCATCACATTGGGGGGGAGGTCCATCTGAGGACATGGGGGGGGGGCAGAGGTCCATCTGAGGACATGGGAGGTGTACATTGGGGGGTGAGAGGTCCATCTGAGGACATGGGGATTTACATTTGGGGGGAGAGGTCCATCTGAGGACATGGGAGTGTACATTGGGGGGAGAGGTCCATCTGAGGACATGGGAGGTGTACACTGGAGGGGAGAGGTCCATCTGAGGACATGGGGGACTGGGGGAGAGGTCCATTCTACATGTGTACATTGGGGGGAGAGGTCCATCTGAGGACATGGGAGATTTACATTGGGGGAGAGGTCCATCTGAGGACATGGGAGGTGTACACTGGAGAGGAGAGGTCCATCTGAGGACATGGGAGGTGTACACTGGAGGGGAGAGGTCCATCTGAGGACATGGGAGGTGTACACTGGAGGGGAGAGGTGAGAGACCATTTGGTACACTGGAAGATGAGAGATGAACATTGAGGGGGAGAGGTCCATCTGAGGACATGGGAGATGTACATTGGGGGGAGGTCCATCTGTGGACATGGGAGATGAACATTGGGGGGAGAGGTCCATCTGAGGACATGGGAGATTTACATTGGGGGAGAGGTCCATCTGAGGACATGGGAGGTGTACACTGGAGGGAGAGGTCCATCTGTGGGGAGGTCCATGGGAGGTGTACACTGGATGGGGGGAGAGGCATATCTGAGGACATGGGAGGTGTACACTGGAGGGGAGAGGTCCATCTGAGGACGTGGGAGATGCATACATTGAGGGGGGAGAGGTCCATCTGAGGACATGGGAGGTGTACACTGGAGGGGAGAGGTCCATTTGAGAACATGGAGAGATGTACATGGGGGGGGGGAGGTCCATCTGAGGACGACAGGGGAGGAGGTCCATGTACACTGTACATTGGGGGGGAGGTCCATCTGAGGACATGGGAGTCCAGGTCTGTCTGAGGGGGAGGGCCATCCGAGGACATGGGAGGTGTACATATTGGAGGGGAGAGGTCCATTCGAGGACATGGGAGGTGTACACTGGAGGGGGAGAGGGCCATCCGAGGACATGGTCCATCCGAGGGCATGGGGAGGTGTACACTAGAGGTGACCATAGAGGGAGAGAGAGGTCCATCTGAGGGCATGGGAGAGGTCCATCTGAGGGCATGGGAGAGGTCCATCTGAGGGCATGGGAGAGGTCCATCTGAGGGCATGGGGAGGTCCATCTGAGGGCATGGGAGAGGTCCATCTGAGGGCATGGGAGAGGTCCATCTGAGGGCATGGAGAGGTCCATCCGAGGGCATGGGAGAGGTCCATCCGAGGGCATGGGAGAGGTCCATCTGAGGGCATGGGAGAGGTCCATCGAGGGAGGGCATGGGAGAGGTCCATCTGAGGGCATGGGAGGGAGAGGTCCATCTGAGGGCATGGAGGGGAGAGGTCCATCTGAGGGCATGGGAGAGGTCCATCTGAGGGCATGGGAGAGGGCCATCTGAGGGCATGGGAGGGTACCTGGAGGGGGAGAGGTCCATCTGAGGCATGGGAGGAGGGCCATCCATCTGAGGGCATGGGGAGAGGGCCATCTGAGGGCATGGGAGAGGGCCATCTGAGGGCATGGGGAGAGGGCCATCTGAGGGCATGGGGAGAGAGGGCCATCTGAGGACATGGGAGAGGGCCATCTGAGGGGAGAGGGCCATCTGAGGACATGAGGAGAGAGGTATCTGAGGATGGGGAGAGGGGGTCCATCTGAGGACATGGGAGATGTACATTGGAGGGGGAGAGGTCCACGAGGACATGGGGGTGTACATTGGAGGGGAGAGGTCAGTCCATCCGAGGACATGTGTACACTGAAGGACATCCAAGGACATGTGAGGTGTACACTGGAGGGGAGAAGTCCATCCGAGGACATGTGAGGTGTACACTGGAGGGGAGAGGTCCATCCGAGGACATGTGAGGTGTACAGTAGAGGGGACAGCGCCATCTGAGGACGTGAGGCGTACACTGGAGGGGAGAGGGCCATCTGAGGACATGTGAGGCGTACACTGGAGGGGAGAGGGCCATCTGAGGACATGTGAGGCGTACACTGGAGGGGAGAGGGCCATCTGAGGACATGTGAGGCGTACACTGGAGGGGGAGAGGTCCATCTGAGGACATGGGAGGCGTACACTGGAGGGGAGTGGTCCATCTGAGGACATGGGAGGCGTACACTGGAGGGGAGAGGTCCATCTGAGGATATAGGAGGCGTACACTGGAGGGGAGAGGTCCATCTGAGGACATGTGAGGGTGTACACTGGAAGGGAGATGTCCATCTGAGGACATGTGAAGTGTACACTGGAGGGGAGAGGTCCATCTGAGCTCATAGGAGGTGTACATTGGAGGTTAGAGGTCCAGGTTAATGATATCAGGATCTATGATTTAGCCTTGGTCTATAAATCCAGTGCGTCACATGAGATCTGTCTGTTGGCTCTCAACCACCAATCAGATTCATATCTCCTCTCTGCACCTTTTGCTCTCTATGGAAGGCTTGAATCTAATTGGTGGTTGTGGAGTGTGAGTTCTAAGAGACAGCTGTCCCCCCCCCCCCCCCCCCCATCCAGCCACTGATCACCTTGCTCTGTCCACAGTTCTTGCTGTACTGCGAGGGGACACGCTTCACAGAGACCAAGCATAAGATCAGCATGGAGGTGGCGGACAAGAAAGGTCTGGCTCGTCTGAAATATCATCTTCTGCCTAGAACCCGAGGATTCACCACGGCGGTCCAGTGCCTCCGAGGGACAGGTAACACCAACAACACCTGATTCCCATTTTATGCTTTGCACTCAGTGTGTGGTACCAAAAAGTGAGGCAATGGGGCCACCACTGATGGTCTTGCAATCCTCCTCCAACTCCCCAGTAATGGTTTGTTACCTCTCACCCATACATGTGTCAGCATTATTGTCTCATTCTCTGGGATAGAGGCCAACATTGGTCATGCCCACACAATGCCTACTTCCTGGTGTGGTTCAGCTCCTAAATTTGTGTGAGTTGCCCACCTGTGGCCATGTTGGATGATTCTGTAATCCCATGAACCTAGGACACAGAATCCCCCCCTTTGTCACGTTATCGCCTGGGCTGCAGAGGATATGTGGCCTTCTTGGAGTATCATGTCATCTGCTAGGCTCCAGTGGATATGGTGGCCTCCATGGAGCATCATGTTTCTCTCCAGAGCTGCAGAGGATATGGTGGCCTTCATGGAGCGTTCACATTATCTTCTGGGCTGCAAAGGATATGGTGTCCTTCATGGAGTATCATGTCATCTCCTGGGCTGCAGTGGATATGGTGGCTTTCATGGAGTATCATGTCACCTCCTAGACTGCAGTGGATATGGTGGCCTTCATGAAGCGTCACATTATCTCCTGGGCTTCAGTGGATATGATGACCTCTATGGAGTGTCATGCCATCTTCTAGGCTTCAGTGAATATGGTGGCCTTCATGGTGCGTCACGTTATCTCCTGGGCTGCAGTGGATATGGTGGCCTTCATGGAGCATCATGTCATCTCCTAGGCTGCAGTGAGTATGGTGGCCTTCATGGAGTATCATGTCATCTCTTAGGCTGCAGTGGATATGGTGGCCTTCATGGAGTATCATGTCATCTCTTAGGCTGCAGTGGATATGATGACCTTCATGGAGTATCATGTCATCTCCTAGGCTGCAGTGGATGTGGTGACCTTCATGGAGTGTCACATCATCTCCTAGGCTGCAGTGGCTATGGTGGCCTCCAGGGAGTGTCATGTCACCTCCTAGGCTGCAGTGGATATGGTGACCTTCATGGAGTGTCACATCATCTCCTAGGCTGCAGTGGATATGGTGACCTTCATGGAGTGTCACATCATCTCCTAGGCTGCAGTGGATATGGTGACCTTCATGGAGTGTCACATCATCTCCTAGGCTGCAGTGGATGTGGTGGTCTCCATGGAGTGTCACATCATCTCCTAGGCTGCAGTGGATGTGGTGGTCTCCATGGAGAGTCATGTCATGTGCCTGTCTCTGATAAAACACCAATTCATACACTAGAATGTGAAACACTCAGGCTGACAAAACATGGATATCTGCATTGGAGGTCTCCTCCAGTCATTCATCATTCGTTCTTCCATTCTCCTTTCTTCCAGTCTCAGCCGTTTACGATGTGACGTTAAACTTCCGGGAAAACAAGAATCCGTCCTTGCTGGGAATTTTGTACGGGAAAAAATATGAAGCCGACATGTGTGTGAGGTCTGTGGGCCCCATCAATACTTACATTTTGCTCCCTCAACTCAGGGCTGTCCTCAGTTCTTTTTTTCTGCTGACCTCCGATCTTCTCTGTCTTCTGCTGATCTGTTCTTCTTGTCTTCTGACCTGTGTTCCTCTGTAGGCTCTCCTCTGACCTGTGTTCCTCTGTAGGCTCTCCTCTGACCTGTGTTCCTCTGTATGCTCTCCTCTGACCTGTGTTCCTCTGTATGATCTCCTCTGACTTATGACCTCTGTTCCTCTGTATGCTCTCTCCTCTGACTTATGACCTGTGTTCCTCTGTATGCTCTCCTCTGACTTATGACCTGTGTTCCTCTGTATGCTCTCCTCTGACTTATGACCTGTGTTCCTCTGTATGCTCTCCTCTGACTTCTGACCTCTGTTCCTCTGTATGCTCTCCTCTCACCTCTGTTCCTCTGTATGATCTCTTCTGACTTCTGACCTCTGTTCCTCTGTATGCTCTCCTCTGACTTCTGACCTCTGTTCCTCTGTATGCTCTCCTCTGACTTCTGACCTCTGTTCCTCTGTAGGCTCTCCTCTGACCTCTGTTCCTCTGTAGGCTCTCCTATGACTTATGACCTGTGTTCCTCTGTAGGCTCTCCTCTGACCTCTGTTCCTCTGTAGGCTCTCCTCTGACTTCTGACCTCTGTTCCTCTGTAGGCTCTCCTCTGACTTCTGACCTCTGTTCCTCTGTAGGCTCTCCTCTGACTTCTGACCTCTGTAGGCTCTCCTCTGACTTATGACCTCTGTATGCTCTCCTCTGACTTATGACCTGTGTTCCTCTGTATGCTCTCCTCTGACTTATGACCTGTGTTCCTCTGTATGATCTCCTCTGACTTATGACCTGTGTTCCTCTTTATGCTCTCCTCTGACCTCTGTTCCTCTGTATGCTCTCCTCTGACCTCTGTTCCTCTGTAGGCTCTCCTCTGACTTATGACCTGTGTTCCTCTGTAGGCTCTCCTCTGACCTCTGTTCCTCTGTAGGCTCTCCTCTGACTTCTGACCTCTGTTCCTCTGTATGATCTCCTCTGACTTATGACCTCTGTTCCTCTGTAGGCTCTCCTCTGACTTATGACCTCTGTAGGCTCTCCTCTGACTTATGACCTCTGTTCCTCTGTAGGCTCTCCTCTGACCTCTGTTCCTCTGTAGGCTCTCCTCTGACTTCTGACCTCTGTTCCTCTGTATGATCTCCTCTGACTTATGACCTGTGTTCCTCTTTATGCTCTCCTCTGACCTCTGTTCCTCTGTATGCTCTCCTCTGACCTCTGTTCCTCTGTAGGCTCTCCTCTGACTTATGACCTGTGTTCCTCTGTAGGCTCTCCTCTGACCTCTGTTCCTCTGTAGGCTCTCCTCTGACTTCTGACCTCTGTTCCTCTGTATGATCTCCTCTGACTTATGACCTCTGTTCCTCTGTAGGCTCTCCTCTGACTTATGACCTCTGTAGGCTCTCCTCTGACTTATGACCTCTGTAGGCTCTCCTCTGACTTATGACCTCTGTTCCTCTGTAGGCTCTCCTCTGACCTCTGTTCCTCTGTAGGCTCTCCTCTGACTTATGACCTGTGTTCCTCTGTAGGCTCTCCTCTGACTTCTGTTCCTCTGTATGCTCTCCTCTGCCTTCTGACCTGTGTTCCTCCCTGGCTCCTGCTCCTCTGTCTGCTATTCTCTGACCTCCACCTGGCTTTGTCTTCCATTGACCTTCGCTCTTCTGTCTGCCCTTCTTAGACCTTCATTCTGTCTGTTGGTCCACTGTTGATATCCATATTTTAGTGTCAGCTGACTTCATTCTTCAGTCCGTGTTTGACACTCTCTTTCTTTTGTCTGTCCTCTGCTGGCCTTTGATCTTCTGTCTATCCTCCTTTTAACCGCCCTTATTCTGTTCTCTGCTGACCTCTGTTCCTCAGTCTTCCTTCACTGAACTCCATTCTTCTATATGTCCTTCAGTAACATCCGTTCTCCTGTCTGTCCTTCTCTGACCTTCCATTCTTCTGTCTGCCGACCTTCCGTCCGTCCTACTCTCGCGCCCCCTGCCGACCTTCCGTCCGTCCTCTCCGCCCCCTGCCGACCTTCCGTCCGTCCTCTCCGCCCCCTGCCGACCTTCCGTCCGTCCTCTCCGCCCCCTGCCGACCTTCCGTCCGTCCTCTCTCCCCCCTGCCGACCTTCCGTCCGTCCTACTCCGTGCCCCCTGCCGACCTTCCGTCCGTCCTACTCCGCGCCCCCTGCCGACCTTCCGTCCGTCCTACTACTCCGCGCCCCCTGCCGACCTTCCGTCCGTCCTACTCCGCGCCCCCTGCCGACCTTCCGTCCGTCCTACTCCGCGCCCCCTGCCGACCTTCCGTCCGTCCCACACTCCGCGCCCCCTGCCGACCTTCCGTCCGTCCTACTCCGCGCCCCCTGCCGACCTTCCGTCCGTCCTACTCCGCGCCCCCTGCCGACCTTCCGTCCGTCCTACTCCGCGCCCCCTGCCGACCTTCCGTCCGTCCTACTCCGCGCCCCCTGCCGACCTTCCGTCCGTCCTACTCCGCGCCCCCTGCCGACCTTCCGTCCGTCCTACTCCGCGCCCCCTGCCGACCTTCCGTCCGTCCTACTCCGCGCCCCCTGCCGACCTTCCGTCCGTCCTACTCCGCGCCCCCCCCCTGCCGACCTTCCGTCCGTCCTACTCCGCCCCCTGCCGACCTTCCGTCCGTCCTACTCCGCGCCCCCTGCCGACCTTCCGTCCGTCCTACTCCGCGCCCCCTGCCGACCTTCCGTCCGTCCTACTCCGCGCCCCCTGCCGACCTTCCGTCCGTCCTACTCCGCGCCCCCTGCCGACCTTCCGTCCGTCCTACTCCGCGCCCCCCTGCCGACCTTCCGTCCGTCCTACTCCGCGCCCCCTGCCGACCTTCCGTCCGTCCTACTCCGCGCCCCCTGCCGACCTTCCGTCCGTCCTACTCCGCGCCCCCTGCCGACCTTCCGTCCGTCCTACTCCGCGCCCCTGCCGACCTTCCGTCCGTCCTACTCCGCGCCCCCTGCCGACCTTCCGTCCGTCCTACTCCGCCCCCCCTGCCGACCTTCCGTCCGTCCTACTCCGCGCCCCCTGCCGACCTTCCGTCCGTCCTACTCCGCGCCCCCTGCCGACCTTCCGTCCGTCCTACTCCGCGCCCCCTGCCGACCTTCCGTCCGTCCTACTCCGCGCCCCCTGCCGACCTTCCGTCCGTCCTACTCCGCGCCCCCTGCCGACCTTCCGTCCGTCCTACTCCGCGCCCCCTGCCGACCTTCCGTCCGTCCTACTCCTCCGCCCCCCCTGCCGACCTTCCGTCCGTCCTACTCCGCGCCCCCTGCCGACCTTCCGTCCGTCCTACTCCGCGCCCCCTGCCGACCTTCCGTCCGTCCTACTCCGCGCCCCCTGCCGACCTTCCGTCCGTCCTACTCCGCGCCCCCTGCCGACCTTCCGTCCGTCCTACTCCGCGCCCCCTGCCGACCTTCCGTCCGTCCTACTCCGCGCCCCCTGCCGACCTTCCGTCCGTCCTACTCCGCGCCCCCTGCCGACCTTCCGTCCGTCCTACTCCGCGCCCCCTGCCGACCTTCCGTCCGTCCTACTCCGCGCCCCCTGCCGACCCCTTCCGTCCGTCCTACTCCGCGCCCCCTGCCGACCTTCCGTCCGTCCTACTCCGCGCCCCCTGCCGACCTTCCGTCCGTCCTACTCCGCGCCCCCTGCCGACCTTCCGTCCGTCCTACTCCGCGCCCCCTGCCGACCTTCCGTCCGTCCTACTCCGCGCCCCCTGCCGACCTTCCGTCCGTCCTACTCCGCGCCCCCTGCCGACCTTCCGTCCGTCCTACTCCGCGCCCCCTGCCGACCTTCCGTCCGTCCTACTACTCCGCGCCCCCTGCCGACCTTCCGTCCGTCCTACTCCGCGCCCCCCTGCCGACCTTCCGTCCGTCCTACTCCGCGCCCCCTGCCGACCTTCCGTCCGTCCTACTCCGCGCCCCCTGCCGACCTTCCGTCCGTCCTACTCCGCGCCCCCTGCCGACCTTCCGTCCGTCCTACTCCGCGCCCCCTGCCGACCTTCCGTCCGTCCTACTCCGCGCCCCCTGCCGACCTTCCGTCCGTCCTACTCCGCGCCCCCTGCCGACCTTCCGTCCGTCCTACTCCGCGCCCCCTGCCGACCTTCCGTCCGTCCTACTCCGCGCCCCCTGCCGACCTTCCGTCCGTCCTACTCCGCGCCCCCTGCCGACCTTCCGTCCGTCCTACTCCGCGCCCCCTGCCGACCTTCCGTCCGTCCTACTCCGCGCCCCTGCCGACCTTCCGTCCGTCCTTCTCCACGCCCCCTGCCGACCTTCCGTCCGTCCTTCTCCACGCCCCCTGCCGACCTTCCGTCCGTCCTACTCCGCGCCCCCTGCCGACCTTCCATCCGTCCTTCTCCACGCCCCCCCGCCTGTCCTTTGCCCGCCTCCCGCCCCCCCGCCTGTCCTTTGCCCGCCTCCCGCTCCCCCCGCCTGTCCTTTGCCCGCCTCCCGCTCCCCCGCCTGTCCTTTGCCCGCCTCCCGCTCCCCCCGCCTGTCCTTTGCCCGCCCCGCTCATCTCCGGCCCCCCCGCCTGTCCTTTGCCCGCCTCCCGCTCCCCCGTACCCTGTCCTTTGCCCGCCTCCCGCTCCCCCGCCTGTCCTTTGCCCCCTCCCGCTCCCCCGCCGCCTGTCCTTTGCCCCCTCCCGCTCCCCCGCCTGTCCTTTGCCCGCCTCCCGCTCCCCCGCCTGTCCTTTGCCCGCCTCCCGCTCCCCCGCCTGTCCTTTGCCCGCCTCCCGCTCCCCCGCCTGTCCTTCTCTCTGTCCTCTGCTGACCCTTCTGTTCTTGTGTCCCTTCTCAGGCGTTTCCCTCTGGAAGAGATCCCTCTAGATGAGAAGGAAGCGGCAGACTGGCTTCACAAGCTGTACCAGGAAAAGGTAAGCTGAGCGTCTCCAGGACACAGCAGACAGATGGCGGAGGATGAGGGAGCGTTATAATCTGGGATTAGGATCATGAGGAGTAGATCGGGGGGTGGAGATGTGAGATGTTACCGCTCATTAGGGGAGGCGGGGGGGAAGTAGGAGTAAGAGTGGTGAGCCAGCTCTGTGGATCCTTTTTGGTTTTGTGGGAGTAAAGATGCCGAGACCCCCCCCCCCCCAGTATGATATACAGGCACTCTGTACATGAAGACCCCCGGTATTATTCCAAGGATGACCCCCCCCCCAGTATGATATACAGGCACTCTGTACGTGAAGACCCCCGGTATTATTCCAAGGATGACCCCCCAGTATGATATACAGGCACTCTGTACGTGAAGACCCCCGGTATTATTCCAAGGATGACCCCCCAGTATGATATACAGGCACTCTGTACATGAAGACCCCCGGTATTATTCCAAGGATGACCCCCCAGATGATATACTCTGTACCCCCCGGTATTATTCCAAGGATGACCCCCCCCCCCAGTATGATATACAGGCACTCTGTACGTGAAGAACCCCCGGTATTATTCCAAGGATGACCCCCCCCCCCAGTATGATATACAGGCACTCTGTACATGAAGACCCTCGGTATTATTCCAAGGATGACCCCCCAGTATGATATACAGGCACTCTGTACATGAAGACCCCCGGTATTATTCCAAGGATGACCCCCCAGTATGATATACTCTGTACATGAAGACCCCCGGTATTATTCCAAGGATGACCCCCCCCCAGTATGATATACAGGCACTCTGTACATGAAGACCCTCGGTATTATGCCAAGGATGACCCCCCCCAGTATGATATACAGGCACTCTGTACAGTGAAGACCCCCGGTATTATTCCAAGGATGACCCCCCCAGTATGATATACAGGCACTCTGTACATGAAGACCCCCGGTATTATTCCAAGGATGACCCCCCCCAGTATGATATACTCTGTACATGAAGACCCCTGGTATTATTCCAAGGATGACCCCCCCCCAGTATGATATACAGGCACTCTGTACATGAAGACCCCCGGTATTATTCCAAGGATGACCCCCCCCAGTATGATATACAGGCACTCTGTACATGAAGACCCCCGGTATTATTCCAAGGATGACCCCCCCCCCCCAGTATGATATACAGGCACTCTGTACATGAAGACCCTCGGTATTACAAGGATGACCCCCCCCTGTATGATATACAGGCACTCTGTACATGAAGACCCTCGGTATTATGCCGAGGATGACCCCCCCGTATGATATACAGGCACTCTGTACATGAAGACCCTCGGTATTATTCCAAGGATGACCCCCCCCCCAGTATGATATACAGGCACTCTGTACATGAAGACCCCCGGTATTATGCCAAGGATGACCCCAGAGGTTGTGTCAAGGAGCACAATACGATGCTACTAACAAAAATGAGCTGCATGGTCGAGTCACCAGAAAGAAGCCTTTACTGTGCCAATGCCACAATATGCCGGACAACACCTTGACACTCCTCACAGCTTCGGGCACACACTAGCCTGGAGCGACGAGAAATAGAGTTTTATGGTCACAACCATAAGCGCTATGTTTGGAGAGGGTTCAACAGCGACAATAATACCATCCCCACTGTGAAGCATGGTGGTGGCTCACTGATCTTTTGGGTGTGTGGGGAGGCATGGGGGATCTTGTGAAAATTGATGGCAAGATGAATGCTGCTTGTTTTTAGAAAATACCGGCAGGCAATTTGTCTCCTTCTGCACAAAATCTGAGCATGGGACGCTCTTGGACTTCCCAGCAGGACAATGACCCCGAGCACAAGGCCAAGGTGACCCTCCAGTGGTTACAGCAGAAAAAGGTGAAGGTTCTGGAGTGGCCATCACAGTCTCCCTTACCTTAAAAACATCTCAAATGTGCGGTTCATGGAAGAGGACCAAAGACTTCACATGACCTGGAGGCTTTTTGTAACAAAGATTTGCTTTCCACTGTGACTTTATTGGAGGACCAAAGACTTGTATTCATAGAGCATTTCAGAGAAAAGTTCACGTCCCTCTGTAGCTCAAGTGTAATTCTTGAGAAGGAACCTTAGGAATGTTAGAGCAACCTACTGGTCCTGGGGATGAGGACAAGGAGACAGTGTGGGCATGGTGGGAGGGATCTGAAGATGAGTAGGTAGGCAGGTGGCAAGGAATAAGGGGCCTGCAGGTGAGAGAGGATTTCCGGGAGGGCTCCCTCAAGAGAGGTGAGGAAAAAATGGGTCGATTCTGAGGACGACCAGAAGGAGGGAGGCTGGAGACCAGATAAAAGGCAGACCTGGTAATGAGGACAGAGCCTTGAGATGAGGAATATGGGTAGGATCTGGAAACGAGGAGGAGGGAGAAGACTTTTCCAGGTATTTCCTGCACAAGTAGAACCATCCCTTTTTTATTTACTTGTATTTTTAATGACATTCACAAATCTGATTATCAGAAGATATATGTAATGTGTGAACAGGAAGTCCCACGACTGACTTCCTGCCCATTAGTTCCATAGAATAAAAGCTCTAGGTCCAAAGACCCTTCAGTTGGTCTTTTTGGGCAACTGATGCCGAGCAATGGTCTAGCAGGTGACATGAAAAAAATCTTCTGGACTCACATAGCTGAGAAAGTTATTAGTGCTTGGGGTAGAGTGGTCCTTTAACCTTTACCATGACCAAAAACTCCATTGGGTATCCTCTGCCATTTACATACTGTGAAGATGTGAGATGGTGATTGGTGAAGATCTCCTGGAGTCTGATCTCTACAGCAAGATTTAGGACTTGGATGCAGCAATGGATCCATGCAGAACTGAGTCCATGGTGGGTTTTCAGCAGATGAATCTATCGTGAACTAGCCAGTCTGTGGTGGGGTTTCAGGAGATGGATCCATCCTGGACCAGCTAGTCCATGGAGGGTTTTGAAGAGATGGATCCATGCTGGACCAGCCAGTCCATGGAGAGTTTTGAAGAGATGGATCCATGCTGGACCAGCCAGTCCATGGAGAGTTTTGAAGAGATGGATCCATGCTGGACCAGCCAGTCCATGGAGAGTTTTGAAGAGATGGATCCATGCTGGACCAGCCAGTCCATGGAGAGTTTTGAAGAGATGGATCCATGCTAGACCAGCCAGTCCATGGAGAGATGGATTTTGAAGAGATGGATCCATGCTGGACCAGCCAGTCCATGGAGGGTTTTCAGGAGATTGATAAATATTGCTGGATGGATCCATGCTGGACAGCGCAAGCATTCTGTGCTGGGTTTTCAGGAAATGAATCAATTCTGAATCCGTCAGTCCATGGAAGATTTTCAGGAGATGGATATATGGCGAACCAGCCAGCCAGTCCATGGTGTGTTTTCAGGAGATGGATCCATGATGGACCAGCCATTCCATGGTGTGTTTTCAGGAGATGGATCCATGATGGACCAGCCAGTCCATGGAGGGTTTTCAGGAGATGGATCCATGCTGAATTAACCAGTCCATGGAGGGTTTTCAGGAGATGAATCCATGCTGAATTAGCCAGTCCATGGTGGGTTTTCAGGAGATGGATCCATGTTGGACCAGCCAGTCCATGGAGGTTTTTCAGGAGATGAATCCATATTGGACCAGCCAGTCTCTGGTGGGTTTTCAGGAGATGGATCCATGATGGACCAGCCAGTCCATGGAGGTTTTTCAGGAGATGAATCCATATTGGACCAGCCAGTCTCTGGTGGGTTTTCAGGAGATGGATCCATGCAGAATGGAGTCCATGGAGGGTTTTTCAGGAGATGAATCCATGCTGAATTAGCCAGTCCATGGTGGGTTTTCAGGAGATGGATCCATGCAGAATAGACACAATGGGAGGTTTTCAGGAGATGGATCTGTGGTGAATCATCCAGTCCATAGAGGGTTTTCAGGAGATGGATCCATGCTGGACCAGCCAGTTAATGAAGGGCTTTCTGGAGATGGATCCATACTGGATCAGCTAGTCCATGGAGGGTTTTAAGGAGAGGGATCCATGCTCCACCATCCAGTTCATGTTGCGTTTTCAGGAGATGGTTCCATGCCAAACCAGGCAAGTCCATGTTCGGTTTTCAGTAGATGGATGCATGCTGAAACAGCCAGTCCGTGGTGGATTTTCAGGAGATGGATCTATGCTGGACCAGCCAGTCTGTGGTGGGGTTTCAGGAGATGGATCCATGCTGTACCACCAGTCCATGGAGCATTTTGAAGAGATGGATCCAGGCTGGACCAGCCAGTCCATGTAGGGTTTTCAGGAGATTGATAAATAATGTTGGACCAAGCAGTCTGTGCTGGGTTTTTAGGAGATGGATCCATTCTGGACAAGTCAGTCCATGGTGGGTTTTCTGGAGATGATCCATGCTGAACCAGCTTGTCCATAGTGTGTTTTTGGGTGGAGGTCTTCAGGTGGAGACCTGGTCTTAGTCGCTCTGACCTTTCTGCACACGTGCGTTTTTGAATGTCTCTGGGATGTGAATTTTGTCTGTTTTTCCTCATTTGCAGGATGCTCTACAGGAACGGTATTTCCAAGAGGGCACCTTCCCTGGCCCCCAGATTTTACCCCCGCCGCCGGCCATGGACTCTCCTAAACTTCCTATTCTGGGCCACCCTCCTCCTCTCACCTCTAATCTCGTTTGCAATTGGTATCTTCGCCAGCGGCTCCCCCCCCTCCTGATCCTGTCCTTCCTGGGCTTCATGTGGACAGGTAAGGAGATGTGCCGTATGTGGTTTGTATGCTTCCAGGTCCCTCTGCCTCCTCTAACCATCTTGTGTTCTTCTCTCTCAGCCTCGTTTGCTGTCCGACGTCTCATTGGGGTGACGGAGATAGAGCGGGGGTCCAGTTATGGTAACAGCGAGGTCAAGAAGAGGGATTAGCTGCAGGCGGCATGCACTAAAGAAGCATTATGGACTTTCTCTGGATTTATATTTCTTACTAATGTGAACTGAGGGGGAGGAAACGCCTTTTCCGGCCATTCGTCAGGGAGCGGCACAACCAGCCAATAGGAATCTGCCATTTCTTGTGTGCGAGAAACCCAGCGTACTGCTCGCTCTGCAACACCACAGGCTGTGTTACCCCTAATCTCCGCCCTTCACTCCAACCTGTCACTGGATCTGTATTACCCCCCCGGTACAATCTACTACTCCATTTCACCCCACACTGCACCACAGGGATTAGATTGCCCTCTAGTCTCCGCTCTTCTGTCCATCCTGCCCCATCACTGGATCTGTACTACCCCCTCCCTGCCACCTACTCCATTCTACCCCTCATCTGTAATCTCCACTGTCCTGTCCAACCTGCCCCCCATCACTGGATCTGTACTACCCCCTCCCTGCCACCTACTCCATTCTACCCCTCATCTGTAATCTCCACTGTCCTGTCCAACCTGCCCCCATCACTGGATCTGTACTGCCCCCCCCCCCTCCCTGCCACCTACTCCATTCTACCCCTCATCTGTAATCTCCACTGTCCTGTCCAACCTGCCCCCATCACTGGATCTGTACTACCCCCTCCCTGCCACCTACTCCATTCTACCCCTCATCTGTAATCTCCACTGTCCTGTCCAACCTGCCCCCATCACTGGATCTGTACTACCCCCTCCCTGCCACCTACTCCATTCTACCCCTCATCTGTAATCTCCACTGTCCTGTCCAACCTGCCCCCATCACTGGATCTGTACTACCCCTGGTGCACTCCACTGCTGGATCTGTATTACCCCTGGTGCACTCCACTGCTGGATCTGTATTACCCCTGGTGCACTCCACTGCTGGATCTGTATTACCCCCCTACTCCATTTCACCCTACTGCACCACAGGGATTAGATTGCCCTCTAGTCTCCGCTCTTCTGTCCATCCTGCCCCCATCACTGGATCTGTACTACCCCATCCCTGCCACCTACTCATTGTACCCCTCATCTGTAATCTCCACTGTCTGGTCCATCCTGCCCCCATCACTGGATCTGTATTACCCCTGGTGCACTCCACTGCTGGATCTGTATTACCCCTGGTGCACTCCACTGCTGGATCTGTATTACCCCCTACTCCATTTCACCCTACTGCACCACAGGGATTAGATTGCCCTCTAGTCTCCGCTCTTCTGTCCATCCTGCCCCCATCACTGGATCTGTACTACCCCATCCCTGCCACCTACTCATTGTACCCCTCATCTGTAATCTCCACTGTCTGGTCCATCCTGCCCCCATCACTGGATCTGTATTACCCCTGGTGCACTCCACTGCTGGATCTGTATTACCCCTGGTGCACTCCACTGCTGGATCTGTATTACCCCCTACTCCATTTTACACCTCTATACCCCAAAATGTAACCCTCTAGTCTCTGCCCTTGTCTCCATCCATTATGTATGCTATTGATTTCCCCGATACCTGGCCTTCCTCTCTGGATTAGCGTGGACTTGTACCCCCGGCACTGGATGTGTCACTCCTTACTCCACTCAGCCTGTGTTGTGTCCTCCTCTGTCATCTGATCTGCCTCCCATGGCTTCTTCATCTGTAATCATAGTCATTGTTGTCCCTCTTCTCAGTTGTGTTCTTTCTACAAAGAGTCAGCACTGTCCCTCCTTTTCCACTGATCTACATTCTTCTTCCCGGAGAGTCAGCACTGTCCTTCATGTTCTAATCTGCATTGTCCCTCCTGAGGATCAGTATGGTCCCATCTGATCTGTGTTCTCCTTCCAGAGAGTCAACACCGTCCCTCCTGATCTGTGTTCTTCCATCCAGAGTCAACACCGTCCCTCCTGATCTGTGTTCTCCTTCCAGAGAGTCGGCACCGTCCCTCCTGATCTGTGTTCTTCGTTCAAAATCAGCACCGTCCCTCCTGATCTGTGTTTTCCATCCGGAGTCAACACCGTCCCTCCTGATCTGTGTTTTCCATCCGGAGTCAACACCGTCCCTCCTGATCTGTGTTTTCCATCCGGAGTCAACACCGTCCCTCCTGATCTGTGTTTTCCATCCGGAGTCAACACCGTCCCTCCTGATCTGTGTTTTCCATCCGGAGTCAACACCGTCCCTCCTGATCTGTGTTTTCCATCCGGAGTCAACACCGTCCCTCCTGATCTGTGTTTTCCATCCGGAGTCAACACCGTCCCTCCTGATCTGTGTTTTCCATCCGGAGTCAACACCGTCCCTCCTGATCTGTGTTTTCCATCCGGAGTCAACACCGTCCCTCCTGATCTGTGTTTTCCATCCGGAGTCAACACCGTCCCTCCTGATCTGTGTTTTCCATCCGGAGTCAACACCGTCCCTCCTGATCTGTGTTTTCCATCCGGAGTCAACACCGTCCCTCCTGATCTGTGTTCTCCTTCCAGAGAGTCAAGCACCGTCCCTCCTGATCTGTGTTTTCCATCCGGAGTCAACACCGTCCCTCCTGATCTGTGTTCTCCTTCCAGAGAGTCAGCACCGCCCCCCTCCTGATCTGTGTTTTCCATCCAGAGTCGGCACTGTCCCTCCTGATCCCTATATTTGTAAACTCCTTGCTGTGAGAGTCAGCACTGTCCTTCATGTTCTAATCTGCATTCTCCCTCCTGAGGATCAGTATGGTCCCATCTGATCTGTGTTCTCCTTCCAGAGAGTCAACACCGTCCCTCCTGATCTGTGTTTTCCATCCGGAGTCAACACCGTCCCTCCTGATCTGTGTTCTCCTTCCAGAGAGTCAGCACCGCCCCCCTCCTGATCTGTGTTCTTTGTTCAAAATCGGCACCGTCCCTCCTGATCTGTGTTCTTCGTTCAAAATCGGCACTGTCCCTCCTGATCCCTATATTTGTAAACTCCTTGCTGAGAGTCAGCACTGTCCTTCATGTTCTAATCTGCATTCTCCCTCCTGAGGATCAGTATGGTCCCATCTGATCTGTGTTCTCCTTCCAGGGAGTCAGCCCTGTCCCTCCTGATCTGTGTTCTCCATCCAGAGTCAGCCCTGTCCCTCCTGATCTGTGTTCTCCATCCAGAGTCAGCCCTGTCCCTCCTGATCTGTGTTCTCCATCCAGAGTCAGCCCTGTCCCTCCTGATCTGTGTTCTCTGTCCCCCCTGAATTTTTTTTTTATCTGTATTCTTCTGGGAATCGGCTCTGTCCCTCCTTTTCTGATCTGCATTCTCTCTCCTGATCTGTGTTCTCCTTCCAGAGAATCAGCCCCGTCCCTCTTGATCTGTGTTCTCCTTCCACAGAATCAGCCCCGTCCCTCTTGATCTGTGTTCTCCTCCTTCCACAGAATCAGCCCCGTCCCTCCTGATCTGTGTTCTCCTTCCACAGAATCAGCCCCGTCCCTCCCGATCTGTGTTCTCCTTCCACAGAATCAGCACCATCCCTCCCGATCCGTGTTCTCCGTCCCCAGAATCAGCCCCCCCGTTTCCATAGTCGGCCCTCCCGATCCGTGTTCTCCGTCCCCAGAATCAGCCCCGCCCCTCCCGATCCGTGTTCTCCGTCCCCAGAATCAGCCCCGCCCCTCCTGATCTGATTGGTTTCCATAGTCGGCACCACCCCTCTCTGTTATTCTTTCCCCTTTTCTATGTCTGATCCTCCATGTTGTCCCCCAGGTGTCAGCTGATCTTATTGGGTTTCCATGTCGGCACCTACGCCTCCTGATCCGTGTTCTCCGTCCCCAGAATCAGCCCCGCCCCTCCCGTACCCATGGACGTTCAGCCCCCGCCCCTCCTGATCTTATTGGTTTCCATACCGTCCGCACCACCCTCCCGATTCGTGCATTCCCACAAGAATCAGCCTGGGGACCAACCCAGATCCTGTGAATCCTTTCTAGATGCACATCCACAAACCCTCCTGATCTTATTGGTTTTCGGCATCAAGACCCTCCTGATATATGTTCTCGTCCCCAGAATCACCCCCCCCCCCCCATCATCCGTTGTTCCCGGGACCACCATGAATCCTGGCATTCAGAATCAGCCCCGCCCCTCCTGATCTGATTCGGCACCACCCCCTCTCTATTCTTTCTGCACCTTTTCTATGTCTGATCCTCCATGTTGTCCCCAGGTGTCAGTGACGAGGGTCCCCCCATGACTCTCCTATACAGGTAATCTGAGCCGGGCCCAGGACTTCCTAGGTACCCAGGACGTTCCAGCATGGTGTCACAGCTACCGTCCGCACACAATTCTGCATTACCCACAAGGATTTTTGCAGCCTGGGACCAACCAGCAGCTGCTGTGAATGTTTCTATGATGCACATCCACAAACCACTTTTTTTACAGCTGGACTCCATCAAGATAATGAGAGGGGGGTATATTTATATACCCCCGACCCCCCCCAACCCCCCACACACCTCCCGCCACCACTACTGGCCATCTCATGGAAGGTCATTCCAGGTGCCGTGGTTCTGGGAGGCTCACCGCCGGGCGCCCCTACTGTGACCGGTGCAGTCCACGTGTGGCTGCCTCTGCCAGGGATTAGAGCTTTAGATCCTAACACTTCACTAGCATGTAACGACCAGAGACGCGGGGGGGGGGGAGGCTGGGTGGAGTGCTGGAGAAGGGGGAGTGGAGGGTTGGGGAGGGGTTGGGGGGGGAAAGGTGGCCAGAGTGGGGGGGGGGAAGCTGGGAGGAGTTGGTTGTGGGTGGGGGGGGGGGGCCAGGGGGGGTGGAAGCTGTGGAGTTGTTGGGTGGGGGGGGGGGGGGCCAGACCTGGGTGGAAGCTGTGGAGTTGTTGGGGGGGGGTGGGGGGGTTGGGGGGGGGGGGGGGAGTGGGGGGGGGGGGGGGGGGGGGGGGGGGGGGGGGGGGGGGGGTGGGGGGGGGGGGGGGGGGGGGGTGGAGGGGGCCAGGGGGGGGGGGGAAGGGGGGGGGGGGGGGGGGGAGGGGGGTGGAAGGGGGGGGGGGGGGGGGGGGGGGGGGGTGGGGGCTGTGGAGGGTTGGAGAAGGGGGGGGGGGTTGGGGGGGGGGGTGGGGGGCCAGGGGGGGAAGCTGGGGTGGGGGGATGGAGGGGGGGGGGGGGGTTGGGGGGGGGGGGGGGGGGGGGGGGGGGGGGGCAGGGGGGGTGGGGGGGGGGTGGGGGGGGGGGTGGGAGCTGGGGGGGGGGGTGGGGGAGGGGGGGGGGGGGGGGGGGGGGGGGGAGGTGGGGGGGGGGGGGGGGGGGGGGGGGGGGGGGGGGGGGGGGGGGGGGGGGGGGGGGGGGGGGGGGGGGGGGTGGGGGGGGGGGGGTGGGGGGGGGGGGGGGGGGGGGGGGGGGGGGGGGGGGGGGGGGGGGGGGGGGGGGGGGGGTGGGAAAGGTGGGGGGGGAGGGGGGGGGGGGGGGGTTGGGGGAGGGGGGGGGGGGGTGGGGGGGGGGGGGGGGGGGGGGGGGGGGGGGGGGGGGGGAGGGGGGGGGGGGGGGGGGGGGGGGGGGGTTGGGGTGTGGGTTGCCAGACCTGGGGTGGAAGCTGTGGAGTTGGGGGTGGGTGGAGGAGGCCAGATCTGGGTAGGGGTTGTGAAGTGGGTGGGGGTGGGATTGGGCCTACTCATGGATGGAGGCTGCTGAGTGGTTAAGGTATTGATGGAGGCTGTAGAGTGTAGGGGGGGTAAGGGGAGTGGAGACTGGAGTGGTTGGGGTGTGAAATGTGGCCAGACTTGGGGGAGGCTGTAGATTTGTTGGGGTGTGGATGAAGGCCAGATTTGGGTAGAAGTTGTATAGTGGTTGGGGTTGTGGATTGGGCCTAGCCATGGGGGGGCTGCTGAGTGGTCAAGGGGGGGGTGGTTGGAGGCTGTAGAGTGTTTGGGGGAAGTGGAGGTGCAGGGGGTTTGGGTGTGGATTGTGGCCAGACCTGGATGGTGGCTGTACAGTTGTTGGGGGGGGGTGGGGGGATGGAGGGGGGGGGGGAAGAGGTTGTGAGGTGGGATAGGGGCTGGACTTGGGTGCAATCTGCAGCGTGTTTGGGGGGGGATGAAGGGGGGGCTGGGAAGGGGGGGGGAAGGTGTAGGGTTCATAGGGGGGGGGGGAGTGTTGGGGAGGGGAGGTTGGGGTGTGGATTGTGGCCAGACATGGGTGGAGGCTATAGAGTTGGGGTGGGGATGCTCAGGGGACATGGGTGGAGGCTACTAAGTAGTCAAAAAGTGTGGATGAAGGCTGGTTTCAGATGAAGGCTGTGTAGGGGGGGGAAGGAAGAGTAAAGGGGGGGACAGAGTGGTTAGGGTGTAAATTGTGGCCAGATATGGGTGGAGGGGGGATTTCAGTAGAGGTTGTGAAGTGGGGGGGGGGGGGGACTTGGTGCAGACTGTGGAGTGTTTTGGGTTGTGGATGGAGGCTGGACTCAAGAGAATGCAGAGCATTGGGGGGAAAGGGGGAGGGGAGGCTTGGCTGATTGGCTGGCAGTGTGGCTTGTGGGGGGACGTGGGTGTGGGTGAAGGCTGCAAAGTTGGGGGGTGTGGGGTTGGGGACTCGGTGCAAGCTGCAGAGTGGTTTGGGGGATGGAGTGTGGGAAGCTGCAGACTGTCAGCATGGGGGGTGGGGGAGGTCAGATTTGGGTATAAACTCTGGGGGGTGGTTGGTGTGTGGATGGAGGGATTGGATGGGATTGTGAGGGTGGATGGAGGCTGGATTGGAGTGCAGATAGGTGGATGGAGGCTGGATTGGAGTGGAGATAGGTGGATGGAGGTGGATTGGAGTGGAGATTGTGAGGTGGATGGAGGCTGGATTGGAGTGGAGATTGTGAGGTGGATGGAGGCTGGATTGGAGTGGAGATTGTGGAGTGGATGGAGGCTGGATTGGAGTGGAGATTGGGGGGTGGATGGAGGAGACATTGTGGATTGGGAGTGGAGATTGTGAGGTGGATGGAGGCTGGATTGGAGTGGAGATTGTGGGGTGGATGGAGGCTGGATTGGAGTGGAGATTGTGGGGTGGATGGAGGCTGGATTGGAGTGGAGATTGTGAGGTGGATGGAGGCTGGATTGGAGATTGTGGGGTGGATGGAGGCTGGATTGGAGTGGACATTGTGGGGTGGATGGAGGCTGGATTGGAGTGGAG